TTTTTTTTTTTTACGTATTGCATTCTATGCAACCTGGAATTTCAATGTTTATCCCGTGAATGGACAAAAATTCTCAATCTAGAAATAACCTGAAACAATAAAACCAAACTTCTATAAAATCTCCTACTTCCCTAACTCTATAAAATAAAACTGTAACAGTATACATCGGAAATACGCTTGCATTGTGTTGTAATGTAAAACTATGTGAAAATTGTGCAACAATTAAGTGGCAGTCATTCGAATTTATCGCGTCAACGATTTGCACGTCGTGTATTTTTCCAGGAATATTTACAGAGACAGGCGTAATTACTTTGTTTCTGCCTTCGAGATCGATTTTTCTCGATTAACCTGTTTAATCGGTCCCGCGTAATGGAAATTAATAACAGTTGTTCGAAGCACCCGGCAGGGAACAGTAATTAAAAATCGCAACAATGCTTCGCACGAAATTCTGAAGTTCTTCTTTAGAAGACTTCAACACGCTTAAGACGAAATTGACGAGATCAACGAAAATCGTTGAAATTAATAGCAATTAATCCTAAACATTAGCAATATTAATAAATTAAGTTTTCGACAGTAACTGTTATTTGATCTATTATTTTTTTACTTATAAAAAAAAGAAAATTGCTCCACTTCTCGTTGCAGCAGACAAATTGTTTCGCATCGAAAGTACGACCAGCAGATAGAAACGGTAGAGAACCCTCGATCGCGGTACACGAGTTTTCCAGTTCGAAGTTGACACTTAAAGTTCACTTGAAGTTTTCCTCTCTCCCCCCCCCCCCTCCCCAATCATCCGCGAAAGTTGAAATTTCTCGAGAATTGCAGTCCTGCTGTCAACGAGGTCATTTCTAACCCCCGTCGAATGCGAAGAGGAAACGCCAGCGCGGACGGATAAAAAAAAAAGAGGGAAAGGAGACGCGCCAGCGCCAGAAAGGAAACGAGTGAAAAACAAGCGAAAGAAAGGAGGGGGGAAAAAAGAAATGTTAAAGAAAAAGAAGTGCAAAACGGTGGAATGCAGCCAGGCAAGAGGGATCAGCAGGCCTTTAACGTTCCTCCGCGCGAGAAGGAGGAGAAGGTCGGATCAAGGCTTTCGGTGCGGCTCGATTTTTCGGCGCGATTCTCCGGCGAGTAACAGATGAACCAAATGGTTTCCTGTTTCGTCCTTCGCGCGAGGAATCCCACGTATGTGTTGGCGAGCCGCTGGTTGAACAGCGTGACGAGCAACGACCGACGGGGGGGGGAGGGGCCAGGTTGAAATATTGATCACAGGAGTTAGGTTTGAATTCTCTGCTCGTTGCTCCCGGCGACTATTATTCTTTCGACAATTGTTGCGCGCGAGATTCCTCTACGGAGAATCTTTTCCATCCTACTTTCGAACATTTTCTTTTAATTGCCACGCGTTCGATTATTGGCATACTAAGTTGTAAAAATTCGCAGCAGGACTGGATTATATTATTTTGTGCCTGATTATTCACAGACGCGTACGTATAACAATTAATATAATTAATACTGATGCGAGGACAATTAACTATAGATTCTGACACGTTCTACTGACGCACGTTGTGTAACTACATAATCGATGTAATCACGTGATACCACTGAAATTATTGGATACTGCACTTTAAACTTCAACATAATATCGTACAACATTTATTCATTTATAATAAAGCAAATGAAATATGATCATTTTCGCACGTTCTACGTTTCATGAAAAATTCATTTCTATGCAAAAGAAAAAAAATCGTAGGCTAGCAGACTCGCTTGATCTCGATCCCACCATCCGCAGAAAATCGTCTTTCTCGGGAGAGACGTGATCATTCCACGTAGCGTGGAATGTTGCTCTACCAGCTCGATAAGCGCAGCGTAGTATCACAGATCTCGTAGGCGCCACGAACTCGTGTTGATTAGTCGATTTCAGCGTCATCGTCATCATACTTGCGCGGAATAGGTAGCACAGATCCGGTGGCAACGATGAGATTTCCGCGTTGGAAGAAAGTTGTGTCGAGCCTCTGTCGTCGTCGTTCGAGGAGAAGGTGGAGAACGAAAGATCTCGCGAGAAATGCTGCCCGATGATTTAGACACGTGTTGAGGTATGCATTTACAGTGAAACCTGTTTTTGTGCGATAGATAGGGACCGCATAAAAAAAAAAATATTGAGAAACTTCGTAAATAGCTATAACAAATAGTTTTTTACAACATATTAAAGAAAATTTTTTTTATGCGGTGAAGAGGGACCGCACGAAAAAAAATTCACTTAGGAAATATGTAAAAAATTTACGAAATAGCGAGAAAGTGCTCTCCAAATAAAATAAATAATTAAGTTACACGTGGAAACATTTAAAGGAAATTTAATTTCTCATTTTAAACATGGGTAAATTTTCACACAATTAAACACTACTCGTCGTA